GGTGGAGATAATCATGAAGAGTTCTAATGAGTTGATCTTCATGTTCATCTATTTTTTCAGGACTCATGAATTTTCAAATAAAGGATTTAAAAAATCTAATTCTAACTCTACCACAGGCCTACTAGCAAATCTACCCAAAGTGTCCCTATATCTGTGCATGCAAGGCAATGGACTACTAAAAGAATAAAAATACTATAAAAAGAAATAATAATAATAATAATAATAATTCAACAAACTAAAAGAGGAACAGAGTTACTGCTTTTGTAGACTGTTGAAAAGAAAAACTACCTACCAATTCTTCTACCGTCTCCCCAACAACGGTTGGGTAGAAATAGTAAAATACCAAGGTGACATAATTGTTCATCAAATTGTTTCAAGAACAAAAAAAAAGAAAAGAGGCATTATTCAATGACTTGAAAGGCTAAAGAGTGCATCAAGTGAGAAATGTGGTTTATTGAGAGATTTAACAAGATTTCCTTTGTATGTATTTGGAAGTTTTTAAATCCTTTTTATTATTTTTATATAGCCTCAAACCTAAGCCACGTTACAACCTTTTGTGTTGACTTTTCTGATTCTAAGTAAGCTTTTGGGAAAATGTGGTGGAAGTCTCATTTGTTAATTCCTATCATAGGATCAATGTTTGCTTATTGTTTGTACAAAATTGCTTAATTCCCCATGAGAGTGTGTGCACATCCATTGTCAACTCCATAGAGAGAATCTTCACACGAAACACTTATATACCCATGAGTTATGACGTTGAACCTTTTGCTTAAGATGTTATTGATGTTACATGTGTCAGGGCTTCTGGTTAGATGGATATAGTTTGGAACACACACACACACACTCTATGGATTACTTGTGACAGGGTTATTGAATTCCTAAGATTCTTTTGATATATGAAACTGAAAAGTGTGACTTGGTGGCCTTTGTGTGTGATGTTCTTTGTTTTCTTTCATTGTTTTGGCATGAAAATTGATAGGAATAAGCAATGAGCAAGTTGGAGGGTGTGATGAGTGCGCAAAAGTGCAATCTAAATACTCTATTATTAGATTAAAATGTTAAAATGTGAATAGAAATAATTAGATATAATTTATTTTATAGAATTTAATATATATTTGAGCATGATTTTATAATATTTTAAATCTTAAATATTTCATTATTGGTTGGTGAAAGATAATTTACAATTGGATTTTACACTTAATATTTTTGGAACTTTATTGTTAGGGTTTTATATTTATTTTTTTTTATTTTATGGCAGCCCATAGAGTAAAAAGACTGAAACTGATGTTCCTGTCACGTGGGCTCGGCACTCATAATTTTTATTGGGTTTTATCTTTCTCAAATTATATAAGATTTGGGTTTTAGGGGCTAAAGCAAAAAGATTTGAGTTTTAGAAGCTGAAATAGAAAAGCTAGAAAAGAGAGGGGGAGGAAAAAGTATTTTTCAAAAGATTATTGACTTTTAAAAACCCTCGCTCGTCCTTTTCTATTAGGGGTGGCGGCTGAAAGAAAGAAAAAGGAGGCAGCGGCTATTCTGGCTAGGGGCAGACGCAGTTCACCGAGTAGAAATAATTCCAATGCCCATTATTTTGTTCTATTTTTTCGGAAGATTTTTATTGTTTATTATTTTCATGGGTAACTAAATTCTCATGTAAGACACTGGATGAACTTGCACAGTAAATGATATTTTATTTATTTTTAATTTTTGCATTTGATTTCTAATTAGTATAACTCTTTTATTTTATCAATCTCAATTTATTGTTGATGTTTTCTTCTCCGAATAATAATAAAATTTATTCTGTTAGTCATGTTTTTTCTATTGAATGGATTAGTTCTTTGATTATATTTAGATCAATTATTTATCTATATTGATTTAATTCTTTGTTACGATATTGTTTCTTAAGTATATTGTCGTCGTTAGATTTTCTCAATAGTAATAATAATTTACATATTTTCAAAGTGGTGAATGATTTTTCAAAGGGTTACATGTGGTTTAATCTTAGTTTATAAATCTATACCTTCCGGTTGAGAATTGAATTATCAATTGAGTTATTTAATGCATTAAAAATAATTAAAATATTAGATTTATGCAAGGGATTCCCGACACTTTATTGTTTGTCAAATTTGAGTACTTTTTTCTGTTAGTCATTTTGTTTCACTTGAATTTGCATTTAAATTAATCTTTGTTCTCCAATAATCATTTAATATTTTTCTTTAGTTTCTTTGTTTCTTCTATTATTCTTTTAATGTGTCTCTCTGTGAAATTTACACCCCAAAACTATGCTACAATTATCGCGTTATTCTTTGAAAGTAATCAGTACCCCATAACATAGGTATAAATTAGATTGATCAATGGTAAAATAGTTATTTACATGAAAAATAGTTAATAATTATAATATATATATGAATCCTATATGTGTATGTGTTGCATACTAAACATGGGTATGAACCGGATTTAAAGTTGAATCTCATCTTTGTAGAAAAGGGTTTGAGTTTGAAAGGGTTTAGAGAAGCTAATCCAAATCCTCTTCAAAAATTCATTCAAACAAACCCTAAAATCCCTTTCAGATTAACTAGGATGCAATTTTACTAAATTGTTCATGATATATTTTAGAAAAAATTTCATTCATACTCCTCAAGAAAGACATATTTTCAATGAAACCCCCTTTATTTTTAATTTTTTTTTCGTATTAAAATTTAGGCCGATTAAAATTCAATTTTTTACATATTAAAATTCGAGTCAATTAAAAATTATATTTTTTATATATTAAAATTTGAATCAATTAAAATTTATTTTTTATTTTTTTGAATCAAATTTTAAAAAATATAAAAAATATTGATATATAAAAAAATATATAAATTTTGATATATAAAAAAATATAAATTTTAATCAACTCGAATTTTAATGCGTAAAAAGAAAAATTTAATCAACTTGAATCGAATTTTAATTACCATGAATTTTAATAAATCAAAAAATATAAATTTTAAACGGCTTGAAATAAATTTTAATCGGCATTAAAAACTCATGTATAATATAAAAAAATGAAATTTTAATAGGCTCGAATTTTAATACGTAAAAAAGAAAAATTTTAATCGACTAAAATTTTAATATGTAGAAAAAAAATTTTAATCAGCTCGAATTTTAATATGTAAAAAAATAAATTTTAATCGGTTTAAATTTTATATAGGAAGACTGTTTGAAGTTTATGTAAGGGTAATTGTAGTATTTTAGATAATTTTTTTTTGTTAGAAATAGTGATTTAATTGTAGAGAGTGTGAGTGTTTAAATATAAATTAGAAAGAGTGTTAATGATATTTTAGATAATAAGAAGGTCTCATTAAAAATATAATAAATTATAAGAGGCGCGACTAGAATTTGATTATGTTATTTGTAGCGCAACCACCCTGCGACCAGCTTAAATATATTTAGCATGAAAACATTGAAAAGTCTCTCTCTCCCTCTCTCTCACACACGTATAGCCAAAGAATCTATACCGAGCTGTTTACGATCATTTACACTCAGGCTAACTCGTCTGCCAAAATCAGTCCAAGAACTATCAGGTCTCTGTTTTCTATATTCTCCGGCAAGTCTGCAGTCCTCAAACCAGCACTTGTCCGGATATTAAAGTACGAACTTAGTAGAAGTGAGGGTTGATACAGGGGTTTTGGAGATTGAAGTCATGAACCATGGCTTGTGATTGCTAGTTTTAACAATGATGTTGCTTCAAGTTGGACCTACCTGGGGTTGATGATGGGGGTTTTATGGTAGCTTCGGTGGAGCTTTGATGGCGGTAATATTTACTCCGTGGTGGGGGTCGCCTGATATAAGCTTCTTCTCCGTTGCTTCGATATATTTGGTTTAAATTTGAGTTTTGATTTTTATTCTGTTGTAGCCCTAATGGTATAAAATCATTATGACTCTGTTTCTTCAGTGGTGCTGAGATTAATTTCACGGCGACTGTCCCTGGAAAAGATGAAAACAGGGCCGGAGGGTTTGATGATACAAGAAACATGGAGTTCAATTAGTCATGTCATGTGGGCCATCACTAAATTATGTTGATTTTTTGCTAATGTGCCTGCATATAAATTAATCTCTCTATATTTATGTTCAAACCCAAAAGAAGACACTATCACAGATACCATACTTGAGCTTTTTGTAAGTGACGGCTGTCCTGAACTGTTACACCTATTTCAGGGTATTGGGAAATTCTACTGCCTGAGCTCTCATCTGCTATTTCATTAGGCAAAGCTGTCAATTTCAATATGAAATCAGGTGCCAAATATTTCCATCTTTTAATGATTTCATTCATGGGTAGTCTTGTATTACTTTACTGCTTTGTTTCCCTTTAAACTTTTGCTTCCATGCTGTTTACCAAAACTATATATTGTCTTCAGAAATTTGAAATCTAGTATAACTTTAACTTGCATTATTCTGTTTGTTGTCTGTGTACTTTTTGCCTGTCTCTATTACGTTTGCAAGGAGAGAGGGAAAAAGGGAAATTGGAATCAAAACAATACGGCTGTATATATCTTGTGATGAATTATTTTGTATTTGTCATATTGTTACTTGCTAGTGTTGAGTGAATTCCCAAAAGAAGACAAGCCAGAGTCAAGCAAACACCCTCTTTTAGAAGACGTGACAGAAGATGATATTTACACTAAAGATGGCACGGAAGATTACCATAACAATCCTGCTAACAAGAGGGAAACAGGAAGCTGGAAGGCCTGCCCTTATATCCTTGGTATATGTGTTATGCATCTCTTCAAAATGTTGTGGGAGTTGTGCATTGTGGGACAAAGCTTATTGACAATTAATATTTTCTTGAAAGGAACTGAATGTTGCGAAAGATTGGCATACTATGGGATGAGCTCCAATTTGTTGCTTTATTTCAAGAATAAACTCAACCAGCACAGTGTTACTGCTTCAACAAATCGCTCAAATTGGTCTGGAACATGCTATATCACTCCATTGATTGGAGCATTTCTTGCTGATGCCTACTTAGGAAGATATTGGACAATTGCCAGTTTCTCCATCATTTACGTTATTGTAAGTTGACTTATTGAAGTTTTCCATTTGCTTGTTTTCAATTAGTTTAAAGTCTATGCTCTTACAAAATGAATTCTCAAATTCAGGACTGGTTTTGTGAGCCACTATAAATAAGTAAAATACAGCCAAAATATAACAAAAGACCAAAGAAGAGAGTGCATAATTAGAATTTCAGCCCTTGTTCATTTACTATTGTAGCCTTAAGAATAACTAAGTTCTGCCTGTTGTCTTTATATCTAACCTGAAATTGAACATGCTATGGTTCGAAATCTACATCCTTGCCTTAAGATTCTAATTTGATTTAGGGGATGGCACTCTTGACATTATCAGCATCAGTCCCTGGCCTAAAGCCAACATGTTACGAAGAAGACGGTTGTCATCCAACTGATGCTCAAACTGCGGTGTGCTTCACAGCACTTTACCTGGTTGCACTGGGAACTGGAGGGATTAAGCCTTGTGTCTCCTCCTATGGAGCAGATCAGTTTGATGATTCTGATGAGGTTGAGAAGAAGTACAAGAGTTCATTTTTCAATTGGTTCTATTTTTCCATCAATATTGGTGCACTGATTGCTTCTTCTGTGATAGTCTGGGTACAAAATAATATCGGTTGGGGATGGGGCTTTGGCATTCCAGCTGTGACCATGGCAGTTGCCGTAGTTTCTTTCTTTTCAGGTACTCAGCTGTATCGGAACCAGAAACCTGGAGGCAGCCCACTGACACGCATCTGCCAGGTGGTGGTGGCCTCTTTGAGAAACTATCGGGTTAAAGTACCTGCTGACAAGTCTCTCTTGTACGAGACTACAGATGCAGAATCCGCCATAGTTGGAAGCCGCAAGCTTGATCATACGACTGATTTCGGGTAAGTGCCTGATCCTAAAAGACTAGGTCAGTTGATATCTGTCAAATTGCAAGGACATGAAAGATGGTTTCTATATTTAGTCTATCAAAGTTCAATAAGGTTCATTGGTGGCAAGTCAGGTAATTTGTGTATTGTACTTCCTTCTTGATAGTTTTTGTACATTTAATTATTCAGCGACAAGTATTCCTCAACAGTGCTTAGCAATGTAGTCTACATTGTTTCAATTGAACCTAGCTCCTCAGTACATGAATCAAATTGCAGAATCCATAACTTCAATTGTGTATAATCCTCACTTATACATGATCTTTATTTTTCACCTAATGTTGATAATTCGTCCATCCTGTGATTCACTCCCAATATCGTCATTTTCAGCTTCTTCGATAAGGCAGCGGTGGTGGTGATACAATCAGATCATATGGAGGGTTCAGTAGACTCATGGAGATGTTGCACAGTAACACAAGTTGAGGAGTTGAAAGCAGTCATACGTTTGCTTCCTATATGGGCCACTATTATTATCTTCAGTACTGTTTATGGACAAATGGGTAACTTATTCGTGTTGCAAGGCACCTTCATGGATGCTTATGTGGGCAACTCTGGCTTTGAGATCCCAGAAGCATCACTTGGCATTTTTGACACCCTTAGTGTGCTTTTTTGGGTCCCAGTCTATGATCGAATCATCGTTCCAGTAGCCAGAAAAATCACCGGCCACAAATCTGGCTTGACTCAACTGCAGCGATTGGGAACTGGCCTCTTCATATCAATCTTTTCCATGCTATCTGCAGGGATCTTAGAGATCGTTAGACTTGACATTGTGAGAAGGCACAACTACTATGATGTTCAGCATATCCCCATATCAATATTTTGGCAGGTTCCACAGTATTTCATAATAGGCTGTGCAGAAGTATTCACATTCATTGGACAATTGGAGTTCTTCTATGAACAGGCGCCTGATTCCATGAGAAGCTTATGCTCTGCTCTCTCGCTCACCACTGTTGCCCTCGGAAGCTATTTGAGCTCTTTACTGGTGACCATTGTTACGGTTATCAGTACTCGGAATGGAAATCCCGGATGGATACCAGACAACTTGAATTATGGTCACCTTCACTACTTCTTCTGGCTCTTGGCTGTGCTAAGCGTGGTGAATTTAGGAGCTTTTATCTTGGTAGCAAAGTGGTACACACATAAAAGGCCGGTTGGAAATCTCCGGTGATTGCTTCAAGGAGTGACACCACGGACAATATAAGCAAGTCTGTCCTACCCGCGTTTCTGACTTTTATTTGCTTTTCACCAATGGTGGTTTAACCACTTGAAAATTCACTCTATCAGTCATCAGCTTCTTTATCTTATGTGAAACATACAGTTAAATTCTAGTACAAAGACTATAGATTGTTAATGTTTATGCAATTAGAGAGTGCAGAAAAGAAAAGCAAATGCATATTGCCGCGTTCTGTCTACTACAAAAGATATAATTGACGCTTATAACACAGTTGGAAGCTGATTGTATACTTTGTAGATTATGAACATGAAGGCCATCAACACTTATGTTTCCAATGTCCATACGCCCGACAGATTATGATTATCCGTGATCGGCCGATGCAATGTCCATCTGCAAAGATGCCATGGGATTCTTTGATTTCTTGTGCTGCTAAGGAATGGAGAGGAAAGTCTTTGAAAAAAATTAAAATGCTCATCAACCACCGTATATTATACTTGGAAAGGCAGTACTTTAAAAAAAAAAAAATTGTGTAACTCGGGGGATGCTGTGACATTGAAGAATGACAGTTCTGAAGGAGAGATTGGCTATGCTTACGCTTCCAATTTCTCCTGATTGTTCAGTCTTGGAACCTCCTGGAAATCTGTCTGAAGTTATGATTTCTGGTTGTGGTTTGAATCTCAATGATATGGACAGCTGAGGTAGATGCTACACAACATTATGCCTGAGCATTTGGTTCGATTTCGTACTTTAGTTACTCTGATCGGAGATGTTATGCATATTGATTGCCTTGTCATTTGTGATGTTCAGCAGACCTCAATTCTTGAGTGGAGTTGTTCTTCAAATTCTTGGAAATAATGGTATATTTATTTAAAAAAATCATTAAGTGTTGGAGATATAGCAGCAGCCTAGTTTATTAGGATTTATTAAGTTTTTCTTTTTTACCTTTTTATCCTTATTGTAACTTTTATTGGTTATATATACGGGGCTCTACTCTTAGTTTATGTCCCTTTTTCATTCACAACTATTTCAAGTTAGTATCAAAGTCAAATACAAACGTTAATCCTAACATTATCCTCCACCATAGACTCAGCAACCATAGCCAACCATCCAGCGACATCAACAGCGAAACCACCAAGCGACATCAAGAAGCAAATCAGCCGACAATAGCAACAAGCAAACCAGCATAACACATCAAACCATAACACCCATACGCCAAAATCACACCGACAGCCACAAACCCACTACACCGACTGCCTCCATATAGCACTGACTGCCTATGTTGTCCAAATTTGGTATTGACAATTTACGTGCAAGTATACAAGATCAACAAGTAATAGAGTGATAAGTAAAATATCGTTCCCAAGGAGAATTATTACTAAAAACTTTCAAGTACTAACTTTATATCAATTCAATTTTATTTAAATAACTTGAAATAATTGTGAGTAAAAGGAGATACTCAAATTAAGAGTAAAACCCCGTATATATAGGCAAAATATAAAAATCATAGTAAGGGTAAAAAAGGGAAAAGAAATCCTAAAGGGAAAAGAAATCCTAATAAACCTAGGAAAGAGAAATCCTAATAAACCTAGACTATCTATACTCCAACACTCCCCCTCAAGCTAGGCGCAAAAATGTCAACTAAGTCAAGCTTGACAACGGAGTCCCGAAGAATAGACAGAGTGACAGGTTTGGTAAAAACATCCGCAACTTGATCACTGGTCCCCACAAACGATGGAGTAACAAGACCACTGCTGACCTTCTCCCGAAGAAAGTGAACATCGATCTCTATATGCTTCGTTCTCTCATGTAGTACAGAGTCAGAAGCGAGCTGAATAGCAGATTGATTATCACAATATAATGTGGATGGAGAGGTCACTGAAAAACCCAACTCGTCAAGAATCGATCATCACATGCTCCCCCATAATCTGAATCTGAATAACAGGCTAGAGAACCGGTCTGAGATCCTGATGCATAAAACAACCCAAGTCCAGGACAAGACTTGAGGTACCGAAGAATATGATAAACTGCATCAAGATGAGGCTGACATGACCTATGCATGAACTGACTAACTCGGCTGACTGCGAATGAAATGTCCGGCCTAGTATTGGCTAAGTAGATAAGTCTACCTACCAATCTTTGATAAACTGTCGGATCTTTCAACTCCTCACCTTCAGCAGTAAGCTTCAGGTTTGGAATCATACGTGATAATGCCGGTTTGCACCCCAACATCCCAGTGTCTGAAAGAAGATCCAAAACATACTTTCTCTGAGAAAGAACAATACCTCTGTTTCTACGGGCAACCTCAATCGTATGACTACATCACTGAAGCGAGAGAACCAGGCTCGTGGCGACTGTCATACCTTTCCAGACAGTCGACATACCTTTCCAGCATACTCCCCCTCACCACGAAAGCCCGGTGGTGCATCCATATAAATAATCTCGTCCAGATCACCGTGAAGAAATGCATTCTTCACATCTAATTGATGAAGAGGCCAAGAGTACTCCGCAGCCAGAGAAATAATTAAATGTAGCACCAAAATCACGACCTGGTACCTGAGTAAAGCCCTTCGCCACAAGTCTAGCCTTGTAACGATCAATAGTACCATCCGCAAGAAACTTCAGGGTGTAAACCCAGCGACAGCCAACAGGCTTCACCCCTGAAGGTAAGGAGACAAGATACCATGTATGATTACGCTGAAGAGCGTCCATCTCTGTTTGCATGGCAAGAACCCACTAGGGTTCCCGCATAGCTTCCGAAATAGAGCGAGGAACCAGCGTATCTGATAAGGCCATAGTATAAGCTCGAAATGTGGGAGACAGATTACCATAAGAAACATAAGCAGAGATCGGATATAAAATCTTTGCGGTCCAACCATATCGATCAACTGGACGGCGATCATGCTGCGAGAAGGTGGCTTAAGCTCTGGATGGAGCTTCCAGCAAGTAGCTTCCACGGGTGAAACGCAATAGCAAAGTTTCACCATCAACAAAGGGAGATTACACAAAATTCTCTAATCTAGAGAATAAAACCAAACATGGATGCCCAAAATTGGGGGCCAAAAACTCCCCGTCCTGACTGAGAATACATCTCTGATAATGCGCTCCATAGCTTTGGAACAGAGCTATGAAACTGGTGGATCTTGTAAACAGAGGGCTCCATTGAGCCAAATAACCATCCAAGAATGGCACAGTTTTCAGAGAACCATGCAGAATATCCAGGGTCGGCATCAGCTGTCTTTGGGTGAGATCTTGTCAGCCAACCAAGCTTCCTTACACGTCCTAAGAAAAGCTGGAATGAGCGTGACCACTCAGCGAAGTTACGACCATTCAACAATTGTGCCGTAACTTTTTTGAGAGATCATGCCCGGTAATGCTGGTAATGCAACTAGACCCGTTGAGATCTCGTTCCAAGAACCTAGATTATATTAAAATCTAGACCCGTCTGAAGAACCCAAATTACAAGCAAGAACGCCACAAAGGATGTGATTTACCTTTGATAAATTCAAAAGTTCAATCAAGAACAAGAGGAGTAAACTCAACTCAATTCACAATCAAAATTCATTATAGATTGTCTCAACGGTAGAGGTGTCAACAGTAGGGTTCTCAAATCCCTCAGTAGTAGCCATATCAACAACAATACTGGGGCACCCGTGACAGAAAAATAACTCTAAGATAAATAGAGGAATAAAATAAGGGAGAACAATATACCTTCAGTCGAACAGTAGCGACAAATAGGGAAGGTCCAAAAAGCTCCCAAATAACTCTAAGATAAATAGAGGAATAAAATAAGGGAGAACAATATACCTTCAGTCGAACAGTAGCGACAAATAGGGAAGGTCCAAAAAGCTCCCAAATAATCAAGTCACGGTGCCCAGAAATCCAAAATATATAAATAAGTGATCTACTGCATCAAGGGCAGATCAACAGAATGTACAAGACTAAGGCCTAAAATTGAACGGAAGAGATTGGGCAAAAACGAGGGCCAAGATGAAGCGACGGCTTGATCAAGGCGGACAGCGACGGCGCCGTCACTTTAACCTCTCCTATTCAACTTTCAGGCAGTTGATGGCCAGGGTGGTTTCGGCGGTATGGCTGGTAGAGCCATACACTAACCCTACCCCAAACCCTAACCTTGCTTTGATACCAACTTGAAATAATTGTGAGTAAAAGGAGATACTCAAATTAAGAGTAAAACCCCGTATATATAGGCAAAATATAAAAATCATAGTAAGGGTAAAAAAGGGAAAAGAAATCCTAAAGGGAAAAGAAATCCTAATAAACCTAGGAAAGAGAAATCCTAATAAACCTAGACTATCTATACTCCAACAAAATAATTAGAATTGAACTATGAAATTACTAATTGAAAACTAAATTTAAACTTAATAATCAAGGGTTGAATTTACCGGATAAAAGAAGTTAAGATTACAACTTCCCCTAATACTTCGTATAAATCTTTCCACTCTCTTTCCAGTTAATTGATCAAAATAAGTTGTTAACTGAGAACTCAAAGTTATTTATCAAACCTCTTCCGATAGTTAGATAAAGTTATCTCTCCCAATTAAATTACTATATTCCTATGCAAAATAAGTTGGAACAGATTCATTAAATTCAAACTCTCATAAAAGTTACACACGATATATAGGTATATTCCTATCCTATACACAAACCCAACAATTCAATCCTAAGAAGAATTAACCAGATGTATGTCATCATATTCAGATCTATCCCTAGAATTCATCTTCCAATTTCAACTAAGGAATCAAATTAATTGTTGGTCCCACAATCATATATTAAGCACAAAATATGACAAACAACTCATGTACGATCAATAAAACTAGAAACTAGAGTAGGTCAATTTAACTAGACATTAGGTTCCGTTGCAACCTTAATAAGAATTTAGTTCATAATGTAATTGAAAACATCATTCTCATATTAAACAACATCTCAGAAAATCAAGAAGTAAAAGTAAGAGAAAAGAATGAAAACTTAGTTGT